TAGAGAACTTACATAATATTGTTTTGAAGTTTTGGAGGTTCAAATAACAAGTAGTAAGAAGACCCAGTGAAGGAACACAAAATTGCCCAGTAAAGGAACACTTAATTTTGGTTATTTTTTAATGCACTTTATGAATTTTTTAGCCATACAAATATATAAAAACAAGACTATTTGTGAAATTATAACATACAAGTACTTTTTTCTGTAATCATGAGCTAGAAATTAAAGTGATGTTAAATACAAAATAAATAAAAAAAAATAATTCTTTCTTATAATTGACAGTCAAATCTAAATCATTGTGTCATCCGATGCTGTTTATTATCATTATTATTTTATCACCTTTTTGTTTACTCTTTTTCCTCTTTTCGTCCTTTTTAAGTATTTTTTCTTTCCATGCTCTCTTGTTTTAACTTTTTTTAGATCTTTCAGCCTCTTGAAATTTGTGCCATTTCTCTGAAGTTAGGTAATTTATTCGTTTTTCTTCTTATTTGACCTTTCTTTTTATCATCAATATTTGGCCAATGTGAATGGTTCTTCCAAACATCTTCTGATTTTTCAGCAACATTTCTAGAATGCCTTTCTCGAAAATAGACGGGGGAAAGGTGTCTTGAAGTTTGAGGCAAATCCATCTCTTGTTGACTTATATCTAGAGGATCTTCAGAAGTACTGATTTTACTTATAGAATCATTTCTTTTTTCAACTAAGGATCAGCATGAGGACTCATTTCAAATTCGATATCTAAGAAGCATTCATTATCAATACTAGCTTCAGTTCCTAAGTTTGACTTAACCAAGTGGTCTTCTTTTAATACGTACTTCTTCCATATTGAAAAAAGTACAGGCTCTTAGATATTTTCGATATTAGACTCTTCAGTCAATGCTGCTTTAAAAATTTACATGCGTTAAAATTAAAACATATCTCGAGGGATTTTCCTCTCAAGCTTCTGAAGAAATTGAGCATCGTTTCTGTTTAATTCGGTTTTTTGTTGAGGAGCTTGCTTCTAAATTCTAACATTGTAAAGTAGTTTTTGTAAATTATATAATCACGTTGCTATCCTATAATGATAGCTTGTTAGGAGTTCTTGTGGCAAAAGTCAGCGAAAAAATGTTCTATTCAAATTTTTATGATTATATTTAATTAGTTTTCCATTTGTAAACATAGTTTATTAAGTTACCTAATATTTGATGTAACTACACACCCCATTAATAAATATAAATTATAATTTTTTCATAAATTAAGCTATTAAATTAACATTTTAAACTGAAATTATTTCAGGAATTATTCATACAATTTTTAACAAAATTTCGGTTGTCCTCTATATAGCAGAATTACTTATCCTAGAGTCATGTAAAATCATATTTCACACATTACTGTTCATTCACTGGAAGTATTCCCAGTGAAAGAACATGCCTGTTTCTTCACTGGTTAGAAGTTGTTTTTTGTCTTTTAAACAGAATTTTGATGTATAATATAATTAAAAGTACAAGAAAATTGAAAAATTTCTTTTATTTTTATTAACAGGGAAATGAACCCAGTAAAGAAACACTTGTTCCTTCACTGGTGTTTCATCGTTTGGTGATCCAGTGAAGGAACATGCCTGTTCCTTCAGTGGTTAGAAGCTGTTCTTTGTCTTTTAAACAGAATTTTGATGTATAATATGACTAAAAGTACAAAGAAATTAAAAAAATTCTTTTATTTTCATTAACTGGTAGAAAAACCCAGTAAAGGAACCTTCACTGATTTTTCATCGTTTGGTGATCCGGTGAATTAACACCCCCTTATCTCAGTACTTGATTATGCTATGGTGCTTTAAAAAAAATAAGACGTTACTTCAATAACTATATTTTGAATTCTCTTTTTCACAGTGAGAAAAATAAGACTACTACATGCAATTAATTTCACTTCAAACATATAAATACAAACAATCACCTTTTAATTTTTTCAGCGAAACAAGGTGTTGCAGAGATAATAACAGATTCAAAATTTTTTCCAGAGAAGTCTATTTGACTAGGTAATCCAAAATATTGCTCGATGACTTCCTATTGTTTGGCAGTAAGCTATTGTTACCAATCAATCTAAAAAAAAAACACTTTCAAATTCTTATTTTTAATCAATATATATGATTTGTTCCTTCATTGGGTAGTGTTCCTTCACTGGATGGTTTACCCTACTTTTATTTACATAAATTATCTTTATTTTTTTCGATTAATTATTGTCAAAAACTGATTTCAAATAGGAACAGTATTACCTATTTTTTCATAATTTAGAGATTTTGAGACAAACTTGGCAAGCTCACCTAATCTTTAAATTACGATAAAACAGCAATTTTGAGGAGGGATGTGGGAGGTTTTCGTAGTTTTCCTCTCCATGTAACGCAAATGCTGGTTAGTTCCATAAAAAAGCCCACCAAGAATACAAATTTCTCCCAATGCTTGATCATGGAGTTCCTTTGTCTTCTGGATTGGGTTCAAAATTGCAAGGATACGGATTTGAACATTAGTAGTCGTAAACCCGAAATTTTGTCGGCTCTTCAACGATGGTTATAAAATAAAATAGTGACATAAATTAACATGAAATTAAAATATTTTAGTTCGAAGGCACACGAACAACATGTCCAAAATAGGAAACCACCCCTAGCAGCTTAAGATAACATTTCCGGTCATGAATTCCTAGATAATTCTTAATCCTTATGATACCTCCCCTAGAAGTTTGTCGCGGCACTTAAGGGACACCCTGTATATATGTTGAATATAAATTTTTGCAATAAATTAACTAAAGAACTAGGAAATATTGATTTCCCATAGTAGCGTGTCAGTCTTCATAAATATACGATAAGGACTGTGTAAATATTGTAATATTCATGATTTCTTGAGAAATATTTAATATATTGCTCATATACAACGTTTCATCAAATCTCTAATATTAAAAACTAGTTCCAGGGATTTCTATCAAATACTAAAAGGGCTACATAAATGAAACAATGATGAGATGTTTGTCGGGATTAGCCGGGTTGGTAGGACGTTGGATTCGTGCTTGTGTGAACGTGAGTTTAAATCCCACTGAGGATGAATGAATGATCTGTGTATGAATGAATGGAGTATGTTTGGGTTCTTCCTGTAAAACGGGCTGTGCTGTGTGTGTGACTAAGGTCGTATTCTTAGTCATAGATTGTGCCACTACAAAACAATAAACGCCCACTCAGCCTAAAATATTAACTCTCTGGAGTTGGAAAGTGGCACAATTAACAAGAACATGATAAAACGTAAAAATATATGAGTCTAGTTTGTCTATATCGTAAAAGTATACCAAAAGATCAAAAAACTGTAATAATTACTCCAGCTACTACTTTTAGTGACAATAAACTCACTCTCAAAACAAATAAAAAATGTATTTCTCTTAATTTTGCTAAAACAAGTCATATTTATTCATCAAACAACTAGAAACGCACCTAATTAGTAAGTTTAAACTACAAGAACATTTGTTTCCCGCACGTACTTATAAAAATGTTTATATTTGGCTATCGGAATTTAAGAAATAAGAGCTATTTCTCGGAAAATTTAATTGGTAAATAGTTCTATAATAAACCGCTTATAATTGTTAATTTATCGTATTTTAATGATCAAAATCCCTTATTAGAATTCTTAAAGTAATTTTCTGTATGAATGTAGAACACTTTAATTGACATGATTTTTAAAGTTTTTGTTAATTATGTAAAAACCATGAAATTTTGTTTAAAATTATATACATTGTGGATCTGGTAACTATTTTCAAGCCAAAGAGTCGTAAAGAAAAGTTTCGAAGAAAGTTTTTGCGTTCTACCGTAATTAGGATAGAATAATAAGTAAGCGCGTTACAAATTATGCGTAAATATTTTTCAAATTATGCGACAAGGTTGTTGATTATGGCAGATATATGCGGACAGGCTGCAAGTGATATAGAATACAGTTTTTTTTCTTTTTAATTTCAAATGAAGATTACAAAGACAAAATGAGCCGAAAAATAGAGAAAGCAATAAAAAATAACAAAGGAAAGCAAATGAAACACTGAGGAAAAATATGGTCAAAACTACTAGAATTTGATAAAATGTAACGTATTTCTAAATCGATAGGAACACCAAAAAAACTCGTTAGTTTTTTATGAAGTGTTTTCGTAGAGATTTTGGTAAAAATTACAATAAAATATTATAATAACTGATAAAATTTGGTTAAAGTGGTAAAATTTGGAAACACAAAAAAAAGCATTTCTTTGCTTAAATATATCTTTTAGATTTTTATTAACTAAATGCTTGGCAATAAAAATTATAATTTTGAAGACTGGAATTCGAAGTAAATCGTTACCACGTGATCGAAATAATTACCTAATACTAATATCATATATTTAGGATTGAAATAAATTGCCGAAATACCATATATTTAGGACTTATAAGCCATTATGTTTTTCACCAGAAATATTATTTACAAAGAGTAATGTAATTTCATTTTCTTTTTTCTCTATGAATCTAGTTTGTGTCTAGCCTCCCATTATTTCCCTCCGAAATATCCAACATTGAGTGCAGAGTAGTGACTCCAAACCATTTTTTATAGTTTAGAACTATAGAAACCATTTTTTATGATATATCACACAATTTGAGAGAGTGCAGAATGTAAATAATGACCAAATGACTTAATAGAAAGCTATGGCCAGGAGCGAGACGACGGACGCAATTGATTTTGCTCTATACCATAACGTCATGTCCTAAACTCCACCAATTCAGATTTTTTGGCTATATTTGGTTTTGGTTATTTTTTGGTTCAGATCACGAAATTATGCGAGGGGACTCCCCCAAATATGTACATAACATATCCGAAACAGTGTAGTTGTGTTTCTTGTTTGGTGCGGTGCTGTACGGACGCATTTTTATCATTTGAAACAATTGTTGAAATTATTGTAAGTACATATAAATTTATATAATACTACAACGATTAATACAGTGACAAATATTATGATCTTTAGTTTTTATCATGGGTGATAATGAAAAGAAAGAAAAGAAAGCAACCAGAAAAAGCATTTCACTGGAAACTAAAATGCAAGTGATTGGAAGATTAGATTCTGGTGAACGTCAATCTCAAATTAGTGCTGCATTGAATTTGGCAACTTCAACAATAAGGGCAATTCTCAAGAATGAAGAAAAGATTTTGTTATCGGCAACTGCAACTACGTCAAGATCTGCAAGTAGAATTACTTGCTCTAGAAATAACATTATAGAGGAAATGGAGAAACGACTGTCTGTATGGATTGGCCACGAAATTGAACGCAATATGCCATTAAGCCAATCTATCATAACGAAAAAAGCTAGAAGTATTTTTTATTGCATTCAGGATGAGGTAAGCGACACAAGTGAAAGTTTCGTTGCTTGTCGAGGAAGGTTTAATAGATTTAAACATCGAAATAATCTTCACAACATTAAGCGATTACAGGAGAAGCAGCAAGTGGAGATACGAAAGCGGCGGCTGAATTCCCAGCGACATTAAAAACAATAATTGAAAAAGGAAACTATCCTGCAGAATTGATTTTAAATGTTGATGAAACAGGCCTGTTTTGGAAAAAAATGCCAAAACGAACATTTTAATACCGTGAAGAGAAACGAGCACCAGGATTTAAAGCCGCAAAAAATCGCTTAACACTTCTACTGGGTGGTAACGCAGGCGGAGATTTCAAATTAAAACCACTACTAGCTTAAAACTCCAAAATCCCAAGAGCGTTGAAAGGCATATCTAAATCAACTTTACCTATAATTTGGGAGTCTAATAAAAAAGCATGGTTAACTATGAAAATTTTTCAGGATTGGTTCACTGAACATTTCCGCCCGTCTGTTAAATGTTATTGCGAAATTAAAAAGCTTGAACAAAGAGCACTACTATTAATTGATAATGCTCCAAGCCACCCAACAAATTTATCAGGCTTAGCAACATGCATGCTAGTCGAAGTGGTTTTTTTGCCGCCTAGCACAACTGCCTTAATTCAACCAATGGACCAAGGCGTTATATCCAATTTCAAGGCTTATTACTGGCGGCCAGCATTGAGGCAGATGTTTGACAAAATAGACGGAGAAGAGAAGCAATCAATAAGAGAATTTTGGAAAAACTACGATATCATGAATGCTGTAGAAAACATAAACCTTTCTTGGAATGAGATAACAGAAAGATCGTTGAAAGGAGTATGGAAGAACATTTGGCCAGATTTAAGTAAGGGCGAAGACATTGGACACTCTGTCGATATGGATGAAATAGTAGAAGAAATAGTGGAATTAGCAAAACAAACTGGTTTAGATGAGGTAAATGTGGAAGACGTCGAAGAAATAATTCAAGAAACAGAAGCTAGTCTTTCTAATGATGAGCTCAAGGAATTAACTGAGCAAGAAGAAAACAAGAATATTGATAGTAGTGATTTCGAAGAAGAGTAAAAAGAACTTTCGATGGCCTTTGTAAAAAGAAGTTTGACCACTAAAACTGAAATTATGGACCAATTTGTTGAAAATGATCAAAATTTTGACAGGAGTTCAAAAGCAAGACGGAGTGTTATAGATGCTTTATCCACTTATCAACAAATTGGAAACACAAAATAGACTGAATGATCTGACTGACTTAGAATTTTATTTGTTTTTGCAAGTACGTATATTCGTTTATATTGTTTTTATTTTTTTAAGAAATAAATGTTTGGTTTTATTTTTATTAAAAAAAGGATAATTATTAAATTTAATACCTAACCAATTTTCTATCCATCTTCCACTAACCCCATTATTTACAAGTTAAGATAACTTCGTTTAGCGCTGTTTCGCATTACGCTCTACTTTGATAGAACGTATCCTACGCGTTAAGCGGGGTCTTACTGTATATGTTACCGGCAAAGTATGAAATCCGGCATTATATGTAATGCCTAGGCATGTAATATATATTTAACTCTAAGAAACTCTTGTAAGAAACTCTCTTCTGTAGTTATTTTTGGTGAGCAAAGTAGTATAGTATTGCAGATACTTCGACCATTTTAGCCATGATGAAAAATTTACCGATAAATTAGCACTAGAGCATGGTTTATTTATTTATTCATTTTTGCTTTATCAATATTTATTGTTGAATGTCACGACGTAATACGATCGTATTTGTAATCCTCGAAAATAACAGTAACGGCACTAATATTTTTATAATCAGTTTCGGCGAGATAAAATCGGTACTTAAAACTATGTACTAAAACTTGACCATGTAAGATATCGCTTCTAATCTATTATTGACGCCAGCGATGTTTAATCGAATGATCGAATCATTAAATTCGACTAGTATTACCATTTTACGTGCTTGGGTAGTTAGATCTTATTATGCGAATATGGATGCATAATATAGATTATATTGTAATTGGTTTTTACTGCAATCACATTTCTATCTTCCCAAGGCATAATAGATAACTTCAATTCATTTTAAACTGAAGTGCTAATTTGAAGAAGAGAAAAAGAACTAATTTGTAGACTTAATATATGTCACGAAATTAATAACGGTGATTTTACTTGTGTCGTTGATTTTGCCTGACATAAGAAACCTAAATAATTCATGAGAACGTGTGATATATCTTATTTTTAATTGATTGAACTGCAATATAGCAAATCACTTATAAAATGTTTATTAAATGATATGAAAAATTTTGTTTACGGGTTGTAGCGCGAGTACCGGTTGTAAGTAAGATTTTTTTTAAGGTAGACAGTTTAGTCCAATGTGTCTTCTTTAGACCAAATTTGGTGCAAATCCGTGCAGAATTGTGGATTTGTATATGGTATATACTCACACACGCATATAAACATTCTGCTTTATTTATATAGATCATTTTCTTTAGACTACAGAAATTTCTGCGAATTAAAATGAATAAAATGTGACCTAATTTCCTTTTAAATTCGAATAATCTTTTCTTTGTTCCTTTCCTTGAAAAAACATTTTTCTCCATTCTAAACCAAATTTTTCCAATATTATTTTATGAAATATAGATTTTCCGCGAAGAAAAAAATTCAGCTTCAATCATTATTGAAGTTTTATAATCTCAAAAGTTTTTTTTCATCTTAGAAGTTTTATCAAAACGTCTTTTAAACCAATAAAAATCTTAATATATAAATCATTTATTACTTAATGTATTATTGCAGTATAAAAAATAAATCTTCGATATCATTTCTATATCGATAGCTAATTCTATAATAAATCCTGAACGAAAACAAGTTTTTGTCATTCCAATTTTCTATAACCAATCGTTTTAAAAGGCTTAGTAATCAATTTTGGTTCTTTGCTGTTAGTAGGAAAAAAACTTATTGAGTAAGAAGCAAAATTTCAAAGACATTTAGAAGTTAATTTATTTACATCACACATCTATTTTTGATATGGCTTTGTATTTACTATCCTTGGAATCGTCATATCTAAGCTTAATGGAATTTTCTTTCCCTTTTTTTTAATAGATTTCTCTTTTGTTGCACAATCCAAAGCTTTGATAAATGAAATACCAATAGCTCTAACTCTGAATCATATACAGATACTGAGTCATATACAGATCTATGGAGTTATCTTGCTGGTTATAGTTAGCCTCGTGTTTAAAAAAAAAAGCAATTTGGAGTTGACCAATTTTAAAGTCCTTTTTATCATTAATGTGTCTTTTATCAGTGAATACCCATAATTAGGGGTCCTATAAATTATGCGGAAACATTTTTAAAAATGCGTAATAATGATGCGATTTTGTTTTAGTATGCAGACAAGTTGAGGATGACCAGCACTGTAAAAAAATCCAGATCAAAGTGAAATAAAATGTATCGGCACTCAAGATGTCAGTACTTTTTACCGTGTTACCCATTTTTACCGCAACATGTTACTCAACGAAAAAAATATGATATGCCTTTATTTTTACAGTATATCAGTGAATCACTTTAATTAAATAATTTCTACTGTAAAACCTATAGTAAAATATTTTATGTTAAAATGAATTTTAGAGATGATGCACGGAAAGTGCTGATATTTAATACCGTAATTTGATCCAGAATTTTTTTTACTGTAGAAATCATTTATGAACAGAAAAATAACTCCATCATTTAACTTTCATCATTCTTTCAATCGTAATAATTAAGACGTGCTATAATTAAGTATTATAGTGTGATTTTCTTATTATTTGCTAATAAAAAATAGGTCTCAATAATAATTTTTATCATAACGCAATACTAACATTTGGTTAGAATTAACTATGCTTTCCTTTTTATTATTTCTGTAGAAGATTATATTTTTAGTAGTCCCATATTTTAAAACAATAACTTTACAAATATTGTTCAAAAATAGGAAAAATAAAATCATTCATTGCATAAAAAAACTTCCTAAACCTTACACAAATCGCGTTTTAAATTTTCATCACCCTCGTTAAAAAGAGGTTTTAGTTAACATCTATTACGATAAGTTACTTACGAATAGCTTAATAAGTGTTTGAGTAGAGTAGCTTCCATTATTTTTCATCCACTATTACACTATTTAAAAAAAAAATTATAAACGTTTTCTCAATAACTATGTGAAATTATTTCAAGTCATTATTCAAAAGATATTTATTATATTGAAAGTGATTTTACACTGTAATTGAAACCATTTATCAAATTTTATCTTAAGCTCTGGTTAATACTGAAACAATTTTGAAACAAATAGTAATAGGTTTATTATAAATTGCATATTTATTGAGCTCACACTCCACTTTTCAGAAATCATATTAAAAAGAAAAATTTAATAAATAAATAAAACTTCAATGGAATCATAAATCAAGTGTCTAGTGTCTAAAATCAATGACAAAGATATTGGATTGTTTCAAATCAAATGTTTATCTGGAAAATATGTTTCACCACATTGAAAAAAAATACTTATCGATATATGAGAAGGACCAATATCAGAAACCATTTCCTTTCTTCGACAAAGATAACCACTTTCGTAACAAAATCCTAGACGGATCATTGATTTTTGGCTTGCAATTTTTCCATTACGAACCGTTATCAGAAATAGGAAAACAGTGAAAAGTCATTAACTTCCACCAACTAGCTACAGTTTGAACGTGTGGCATCAGTGAACAAATTGAAATCACTTTTGCAACAAAGGCAGAGAATTTATTCAAATCATCACCAAGTTTTTTTTGGCGGAAGTAAAGTCAAGTAACGCTTAAGGGAATTGAGTCGAACAATTTCACGGTGAAAAAAAAAACATTTTTAAAGAAAAGTATAGGTTAAGTTTAATTTTTTCATAAATGTTTGAAAGAAATATTAATTGAAAAATACAAAGGAAATAAACTGCGGGATGTTTCTATTTAAAAAAATCTCAAGAAGAAACTAAATCTTAAGAGAATATAGTATCAAAACGAAAGTAATTAATTTCAATACAGTTTTAATAAGTGAAGAATATATATCATTTTTTAATAATATTTAATGCATTTATATGCAATACTACCAAATATGCTTATGAACTATTACACTATTATAGTTTTATGTGTCTCACGCTGTTTTTTCCAGGCATCGTGTGCCCAAATTTTGCAACGGAAAAATCCTATTTTTCAAACACAAAAAGTACTTTCCATAATAAGTACATGTAATAAAATAGCTCGCACATGTTGCACAACACTGCTATTTTTAAGATTTTGTGGGTGCTAGAATGACGACTAAGTCAACTGTCATCTACCAAAAGATACCTCAAGATAGAAAATATTAACACGTCTTATATTCTAGTGAATTGGAATTATATTATTGTAGTGGTAGTTATACTACAACTTGCACATGCATATTTATAATGGTTTTTGTTTTCAGTTTGGAATTATAAAAACTGTCTTCTAATGCTAAAAAAAAGAAAAGAAAACATTTTTCTCTTAAATGAGCATAAATGCGTTAGCGTTTAGGCAAGACCTTTTTCAGAGCTATTTGTGCGGTTTTAAAATTTTATTAAAAGTACCTTCGTATGCTTTTTAAAAGCAATGCAATTCCCATTACAGAAACTTATGTTGCGCGAAAAATTAAAGAAAACCTCAAAAATATTCTAATTTTGGGTAAATTTATGCAGATAAGAGGTGAAAGTATAACATCTTGGAAATCTTTTTCTTTCCAAAAAAGAGGATTCGAAACTAGGATAATAACTAGCATTGGTCCTTATGTTAATACATTATAACTTGTCAGGGCAAGTAGTACCAATTGTTACTTGCCCTTGACTTTATGAACAATTGAAACAATGGAGCTAGTCAAATAAATGTGTTTGTTTTCTAAATTACACACAAAAGTGAGTCTTTTAATGATTATAACTATGATATATGTCATTGTGTGAAGCAAAAATTACAAAGCAGCAATCTTCATTGCACAGTAAAATAACATGAACCATTAAAACGGTGACATAACTTAGAGTATAAAACAAAAATTACCTATATCAAGCTTCA